AGGCCCGGCGAGGCCTGACTCCCTCACCGAGTTTGTTACCTTGGGTGGGACCAGGGGTGGGGCGGCGGGGAGGGGTCGGGGCAAATAAGCCCAGTGGTGGCGGTGGTGGCAGAAGCAGCAACCGTAGGGGGAAAGAAAAATCTCCGCGACGAGATGATTCCGTCCGAAGAGGTAGAACTCCGCCGGCGGTGAGGGGGAGGGGAGGAAAGCCGGGCGACGGAAGGAGGAAAAGACAAGGCAAACAAAGTGTCGCGAGACACGAACCATCGCGAGATGCGCCCCGGGTCACGTGATTCGCGGCTCCCTCTCCTTTACTTGCGTCGGGAGCGCGAGGTGGGCGGGGCCAAGCAGGAGGAAGTGGTGTGGCTGTCCTGCGCCGACTTCGTAATACAGGTTCGTCATACCTCAGTTCCGGCTTGGGCCCGGGACCGTCTGGGTAGTTTTCTAGGTTTCGGTGCTGTGGGACTTTTTATGAAGTCGCCAGGGGAGTAAAACCCTCTGCTGTTGTGAAGGAACAGGATTTGATGCAGCCTTTATACTAATGGATTTCAAAGTGTAGTCCCTGAATCTGCCCTATTGGCGTCACCTAGGAATTTAGTGGAAATGCAGTTTAAGTCCGATCCCAGACCTGTATCCAGAAACTCTGGGGGTGGACTTAGCAGTCTTGTCCTCTCAAATTAGAGAAACTCTGCTCGATTTAATAAAAGCCTTAGAAGCAAGAGAAAACTGAATTGTCGCTGAAATCATTGGAGCAGAGATTGATTTAAAATCTGCTTGTTGCTAACTGTCAATTAAGTTGATAATTAAATCTCACCTGATGGGGAACAGTCTCCAAGTTAATACTCTTGAAAATAAGCAAAGTGTTCTGAATATGTGCATTTATGTTTTTAAAAAATGCTCATTGAGTTTATGTAAGTACGATATGTACGAGTTCTGTGCGGACGCACAGATCTGTCCAGGGGTTTGAACGAAGCCAAACGTTTTTATTGATAATCCTTTTTTCCCCCCAATTACCTTGGTTAATCTTTTATGTACTCCTCCTACCTCCCCCTCTACCATGTTTATACATTTATTCAATTTTTCCTTTTTTTTCTGGTATCGGAACTCGAACACGGGTCCTTGCACTTGCAAGGCAGGCGGCAGAACCACTGAGCTAAATCCCTGGCCTCATTTATTGTCGTTTTTTAAAAGCAGATAAAGACCTGAAATACAAAAGCTGTGGGGATACCAGGAAGCAACTTTCCCTGGAAGATTGGGGTCTGTTGGCTGGACCCATGAGAAGGCTCTCGAATAGAACTGTGGAAACATCTTTTAGTTTCTTGTTTTCTTTTGAAGGAGCTCTCTTTTCTTCTCTATTCACAGACATACAGACTGTACAGTGAGTCAGGTAACCTGTGGAGATGGGAATCCAGGTCAGGTTTGTAGGTGTCATTGGGATGGAAAGCAACTTGCAAGATTTGAAAACGCTGCCTTTCCTTGGATTGAGATCTGTTTAAAATAACGTAGGGTTTGACACACTGTCCTTATTCTAATTGTTTATTTTAAGAACTGCTACCAGGAGAATATTTGTTTATGGGCATGTAAAAATCTCTGAAATGAGAATTCTTTCTGAACCCCCTTGATCAGAAAATGGGGAAATATTTGTTATACATTCCAGTATAGGTTAATCTACTTTGTTTTCAAGATTTTTAAATCTCACCATCTAGGTAACATTTATAGAGAAAAGTTATATTGTTTTGGTTTTTTGTTTTTGTTTTTTGAGACAGGGTCTCACTATGTAGTTGAGACTGACCTGGAACTCACTGTGTAGCCCAGGCTGGTCTCAAACTCACAGCGATCCTCCTGCCTCAGCCTCCCGAGTGCTGGGATTACAGGCGTGCACTACCAAGGCCGGCTTGAGAAAAGCTGTATTGAATTTTAATTCTCATAGAGATTATTACATTTGTATGTACCAGAAAACAGTCTAAACACTTTCCATGTATTAATTTAATTTTTATAGTGATGTGTGTTTGACAAAGCTTGAACAAGTACAAGCTTTGATTAAGAGAGATGCTTCAAGTAGGTTTTCTGACTACACCCTTTGAAATGTCAAAAACCTGTACTCAGTGATTTTTCTTAAAATATTCATATTCAAGTTAATCATGTTTCTTCAGAAGAGCAACATCCTAGCATGTGCAAGGCCCTGGGTTTAATCCCCAACACTTTAAAAGACAACAAAGAGCAGTATCTAAACCTTTAGTTCCTTAAACTTGCTACTTATTTTATTGAAACCTAGTAAGTACATAAAATAGGCTCCAGGACCGGGGATTTAGCTTAGCGGTTCAGTGGCCTGCCTTGCAAGCAGAAGGACCTGAGTTCAATCCCTGGTACCCCCCCCAAAATATTTTTTTTAAAAAGGTTCCAAATTGTCATCAGATTACACAAAAACTTCCTTTCAATTTGAATTTTTGTTTTTTGTACCGGGGATTCAATTTGAAATTTAAAGACCTACTGAATAAAATCATAGATTTCCTTTGGAAATGGGCCATCCCACCTCAGAGCAAAGAGTATGTCCCCCCCACACACCCAAAAAACCATGTTGGTCAAAAAGGAGACTATTCCTTAACTTTGTCGTATTCTTTCCTGACCACAGTAGCCTCAGATTTGCTTACATTTTCCATATCTGAACAAATGATGAATTATAGATGTATACATAGTCAAGATAATTGCTCTTATGCTCTTTGCTTTCATTAGTCATAGAGGAATTTTGAATGTTTCATAGCGATTTGCTCAGGACTTGCTCTTTTGTGTTTGAGTGTTTTGGAGTATAGTGCATTGGACACATATCCTGGGGTATTGCTTAAGCAGCATCATCCGTTTAAGACTGAAGGAGGAAAAAAACCATCACTGCTGGTGCCCAGATATTCTTGAGTCATAGCAATCCACTTAAATTTGCATTGCCTTGTTAGCCTTACCAGATTTTCTTCTATTTTGTTTTACCTGTGTTCCTCAAGAACAGAAAACCATACTACTAAACGATAAGAAAACAAGCCACTAAAAACAGATGACAAGGATTTCATCAGAAGATTATAATCTAAAGCTTTACAAGGATCAGAAGCAGCAGTCTCTCATAGTTCTTTAGGCCTCTTCAGAAGCAGTATTTAATCGTACAGTTTAATCCCCTTTCTGAAGTGCTTGGGACCAGACGTATTTTGGAATTCTGTTTTTTTGTGGGGGAGGGGTTTGGAAATATTTGCATATATCTAAAGAGGTGAGATACCTTGGGGATGGGATGCAAGTTTAAATGTGAAATTCAGTTATTTTTATATACCCTGTACACATGGCCTGAAGGTAATTTTACACAATAGTGTTTTTGGGTTTTGTTTGTTTTGTTTTGTTTTGTTGTTTGTTTTTTTGGTACTGGGGATGGAACTTGGGCCCTTGCTCTTGCAAGGCAGGCAGCGGAACCACTGAGCTAAATCCCGGCCCTACACAATAGTTTTGGTTCACCTGCATTTTAACTGTGTCTTGTGATAGGAAGTCAGATATGAATTTCCTACTTGGGGCATCAAATTTAAGATTTTGGAACACTTCAGATTTTGGATTTTCAGATTTACAAGTTCAGCCTGTAATCTGTACATGTGTAACGTATTCTGAACACAAGAACCCACACAAACATCTCTCATACATCACTTATTGCTGTGTGTACTATGGTAATGTAGTTTTGATCAGTTGGGGACATAGTTCAGTAGTAGAGCTCTTGTATAGTAGGTGCAAGGCCTTGGGTTCAATCTCCAGCAATGCAAAAGAAGGAAAAAAAACCTTCATAACCCCCCAATAAAAATAAAAAACCTTTGATGTTAAATTTGAGTTAGGATCTCTTTTGGGGGTGCAGTACTGGGGATTAAACCCAAGTTCCTCCATCTGAGCTACATCTCCAGTCCTTTTTGTTTTTGGACACAGGATCTGGCTAAGTTGCTAAGTTACCCAGGCTGGTCTCAAACTCATGACTTAGCCTTCTAGAGTACTTGGATTATAGGCATGTACTACCATGCTAGAATTATATATATATATATATTTTCTAAATATATATTTCTTAGAAATAATATCATCCCATTAGACGGTGCCCATATTTTAATATCTGGCTACCATTCCCCAATAAAAAGGAAATGGCATTTCTTAGAAAATGGTTGATTTTGGATCTCAGGCCCAGAAAGTACAAACATGCGAAGTTGAGATTGAAACACCTTTCAGAAAGCAAGTATCCCAAAACTTATAGAAAGTTAAAAGCCTACAGAACCCATCCTTAGGGTACTCCACTGGCCAAATATGGCATCTTTTCTTCAACTAAAAAGAGTAATAGCCGCAATAAATTATCAAGCCACTGAATGCACTTTTAAAATCTTTAAATCCAGGGTGATAACTCAAAATGACTTGTGGGGGAAAAGAGTTTTTCTTTGTAGAAGAAATAAGTGTAGCCAATAACGGTAGATAGAATGATAGAATTGGAAAGTTCACCATTTGCAATCCCAAATGGTTCAAGCAAGGATCATTATCAAAACTAAAACTCACCCGGTGACGAAGGTAGGGCAAGGGATGTGGATTTATGGAATCAAGGCATCACACATAGATAAAGTATCATGCCCCACAGATTGCTTAATAATTGCAAATAGGAAACACACTGAAATGTGATGAAATTCAGCAGTCATTGACTTAACACAGTGATCAAATTTAGCGCCACTATTGTGGGATGACCTGACTTCATTTGCCTCTTGATTTGATGCAACATGGTGTAACTGTCACATACGAAGGAACCTTGTCCAGAATGCTTAACCTTAACATAGCTAAGCCTTTTACCCAACTTCCAGTTCACAGGAAATACAGGCATTGAGACACAAGTAGAATGGCCATTTGGTTGGTTTGTTTTCTTATTTTGTTGAGACAGGGTCTCGCTGTGTAGTTGAGACTGACCTGGAACTCACTATGTAGCCCAGGCTGGTCTCGAACTCACAGCATTCTCCTTCCTTAGCCTCCCTGGGATTACAGGTGTGTGCCACCTCACCCAGCCCTAGAATGGCCATTTGGAAATAATCCAATCCAGAATGTGAGACATTAAGTAAGTGGATTTAAATTCGTTAAAAAGAACAACAACAAAAACCCAAAGTCATTAAAAATTGGAGGGCTGTTCTAAATTTGGAGACAAAAAGACACAACCACCAAAAGCAATGAGTATGTCTTGACTGGATTCCGGTTTGGAAAAATAAGGCTGTAAAAGATTTTGGAACATTTGAATATGGACTAAATATTAGATGATAATGAATTATTGTTAATTTTATTAGGTGTGAATTATGGTTATTTAGGAGAATGTCTTGCGCTTAAGTGTTTAGGGGTAAAAGGTCCTACCATTGCTAGCTTACCTTCAAATGATTTGGTGAAAATATGTGAAGTTTCACATATTACACATATGTACATATATGTGGGTACACACACAGGGAGGAATGTTAGTCATTGCATCTAGGTGGTAGATATATAACTGTTCATTGTACTAGTCTTTTAACTTTTCTGTATGCTTGATATTTTTCAAAGTAAAAAGATAGGGAAAATATTCATGAACTGGCTCGAACACCTTTTGGAATGGTTTTGGGCTGTATGTGTGTATAGGAATGGGTGTGGGGAAGAATAGCAGAGAGTTGAGGGGACCTCTAGGAGTTAGAAATAGTTTTGCAGGCTCAGCCTTCCAGAGTACCAGAATTGCAAGGTTGCTTCACCCACCTAGTTTCACCAGTCTTTTTTTTTTTTTTTTTTTTGGTATGAAGAATCAAATTCAGGACCTTGTGCTTGTGAGGCAGCACCACTGAGCTAAATCTCCGGCCCCACTACCACAGTCTTTTAAATCCAGAGTTAATTGGATTTTTTTTTCTGTCTTAACACCCCTAAAAGTAGCTTCTTTATCTGAGTATTTCCCATCCCCATATTTATGATGCCTGCAGATTATTTATCTTAGAAAAAAGGAGAAAACGAGCAAAAATATTTCACATCACTTTTGTGGCACAGTGTATAATAGAATAATCTTTGTTATGAACCAAGATATATTAAGAGCACAAACTCCCACAGCCAGGCGTGGTGGTGTGCACCTGTAATCCCAGCACTCGGGAGGCTGAGGCAGGAGGATTGCTGTGAGTTTGAGACCAGCCTGGGCTACATAGTGAGTTTCAGGTCAGTCTCAACTACATAATGAGACCCTGTCTTAAAAAAAAGAGTACAAACTCCCAATAATGAATATCTCAACATATTGTATTCCTAAAATGTACCAATAAAGTTAGTGAAAAAAAAAATAGTCTTTGTTGAAGGCTGCTTAACCCAACCTTGGGTAGAGGGCAATATGCCTTCCCGTGTGCAGACAAGGAAAAAGATGATTGAGGGCTTTTTATAGTATTAGTGACTTGAACCCAGGATCCTCACACTGAGCTATATCTCCAGCCCCCCTTTTCATAAATTAAAAAAAAACACAATGTCTTGCTAAGTCACTAAATGACCCAGACAGATCAAATTTGAAATCCTACTGCCTCAGCCTCCCAGAGTGCTGGGATTACAGGTGTGTGTCATCATTTACAGAAAACAGAATGAGTTCCAGGTTTTGCTCTTTTAAAATGAGTGGCCCATAGTTACATATGGCTACATTTAGCTGTTTTGTTGTTAGTTGGCACAGCTGCCTCCCAAAATGGAGGCTTTAATACTTGAAGATTCCATTAGGTGGCGGTCAGGATCCGGGCATCTTTTGATTTTCAGCGCCCCACCCCCACACACACCGGCGTTGGTGGGGGGCGTTGCCAAGCATCTTGCGGGTAGAAAGGATAGGAAAAGCAAACATAAAAGCTGTGTATGGATATATGAGTCACTAACCAAAAAGCTAAGAATCCGGGTGAAGAACTGCAGGTTTAGTATACACATTTTTGTCTGCCCTTGTGATTCTTTAAGTTTTACGAGTTCCTTTATGTCCAAAGCCTTCTAGACCACGCATATGCTGTGTCTCTGTGCTGTTAGCTTTAGAACATAAGTAGGGAGTATGGCTCCTTTAATTCAAGACTAGCACATTTAATAGTATTTTGCTGGTGACACCTCCCTTTGTGTAATTACTGCTCAGACGAGGCTCTGTGGTCCCAGTAGGGTTTGGTAGGTTGGGTTTCCTGGGGAAGGACTCAGACTCAGAGGTTTATGGGAAGGTGCCCTTGGGAGCGTCCCGGGAGGGGTGATGGGGAGAGGTGAGCGCTAGGCCCTCGGTCCACAGGAGGAGCTCTGGAGCCAGGGCGCCCCCCGGAGATGCCAGGGCTTTAGGGCTCGGTGGTCCCGAACTGATCCCTCATTAGCTGCCCCTGTGAGGGGCTAAGAGCGAGTCAGGCAAGAGCTGTCAGCTGCCCGCACTCCCGCTGGCCAGAGTTCCTCAGCAGGGGCCCCTCAGCCGAGCCGTCCAGGCCCTGCGAAGAGGGTTTTTTCCTCCCGGCGCTCCTGGTTTTGGTATCTCTGACGCCGCTTCTCTTGCAGAAGCTTACCGCGCTAGAAACCGTGAAATAGTTCCTGATCTTGTTTTCACCTTCTCATCGTGTTTTCTTCGTGTTAAATAAAGCGAATGGAAAGGGCTCGGCGCTTGCGGCAGGTGATACCCTCTTTGTTTCGCATCGATTTCTGATAGGTATCTATTTACACCATAGAACTGACATGCACCTGCTTCTCAGGTACCAAGAGAAAGCATTCTCTCTGTTGAAGAACACTGCACAGTTGGTAACTAGTTACTCCCGTGCACGAAAAACCACTGGAGTGTTATAGGAAAAAAAAAAAGTTTTTTTGTTTTGTTACCGGGGATTGAACTCGGGTCCTTGCACTTGCAAGGCAGGCCACCGAACCGCTGAATTAAATCCCCAGCCTGATGATTGACTATTTATAAAGATTTTTAGTTGAACTTTTTGCCTGACCATGGCTGTTTTAATATTCTTTTCGCACCGATGTTCTTCCTATTTTCTTTTTCCTAGCTTCAGCTGAAAGAATCCCCCTTACAATCTTTTGGGTGATTCCAGGGTCCCACGGAAGTCTTTTGGCTGTGTTCGCTCCCTCCCCGGGTCCGTAGACCCGGGCGGCAACAGCTCTCACTTAGCTTGATGTGGTGGTGCAAGAATGGGACTCCCACTCAGTCCGAGGTGGCCGCACATACGTGTTCAAATCTCCGCTTGCTAGCTCACCGTACAAGGCCATCAGAGATGGGGCCCTGCCTTAGCTCGGATACACTTCCCCATGCAGACCTGCCCTTCTCTTTCACCCCTGAGGCCCTTGCTTCTAGCATCTGCTTACCTCGCATGCCTTTACCTACTTCCCTTCCTGGAACAGTGTCTGTCCAGATGGACGTGGCCACACCCAGCTCTCACAGGTACAGCTTCTTTCTGCACCCGTATCGGTTTTATAGCTATCAATCTCTGGACTGTTGGTGTTTAGAACCAGGCTCCTCTCGGCATCGTATCGAAGCAGCAGTAATAACCTCCGTGCCCTTTGCACCTTCAGCCCCGGGAGGGTGTAGCTGGTGCGGGTAGATCTTCTGTGACAGGACTAAGTGGTTGTACTGAAAACTAGTCTTCTTGGAAACACAGAGGACACATTTTTACTGCCAGTGAACGTTTGATTTGATTTGGGTGAATACTCTGAGGGTGTCTTGTCGTTGTGTTATGATAGTTCTCTAACCCTGACATACATCGTTTCAGTTTCTTGCTAAGTGTATTACTGGAGTAAGAAAGAAAGAGTTAATGCTTGGGCACTTTCATGACGGAGAGAACCTTTGATCGATCCTAATCACAGCCTGTCTCTCACAGGCACTTGGAAGTGATTTTTTTACACCCTTGTGTGTGCTGGTAAGGATGTAGATGGGAAAATGAGGACTGTAAGAGTAGTGTGACTATGAATAATTTAATCAGTGTATTTCTGGTTTATTTTTTCAGTGTTACTCACTAGCTGCCCAAGTTTAGTGCTTTCTCCACCGGCAAAATGAAGTAGAGCCAGTTAATCTGACACTCAGTACGAGGACAAAATTCACGTGACTGAGACAAGAAAGAGGCTGCATGTAAGGAGGGTCCTGCCCATTATTCTTGAAGTTTATGCAGAGCCCATGTGAATTTAGACTCTTTTGCTGAAATTTATAAAATGACATAGGTTAAGTCACTTTATTGCTTTGTGTTTGACCTGGGAGACAAACATGAGAATAATGTATTTCCATGTGTCCTCGTAAGGCAGACGAATTGATATAAATATGCTAGCTACCCCCGCCTTTTTTTGTACCAGGGATCAAACTTGGGACCTTGTGCTTTTGAGGCAGGCAGAAGAACCACTGAGCTAAATCCCTGGCCTGATATGATAACTACTTCCACCAGTTCGTAGATTGAATGGTCGCTTTTAGGTTTGTTTTTGATGGTGCGTTCGCCCTTATTGGTCTTTTCATTTTGCATCATTGTCAGAACTCTGGTTTACGACCAAAGGAAGATGTGCCAGCATTCAACACACTCAACTGTAGTTCCAGTGTGGATTCTGCCTCTCACTTCCATGAGACCTTCAGCAGAGAGATCTTCACTTCATTGGGCCTCTATGTATTTGTGTTTCCTTGCAGTCCTAAGACTGCGATTCTTAATTTTACAGGAAGTCGAGAAAGTTGATACAGTCTTCCCTGATGAGTGCAGTCCGCAGTGAGTCCTACCCCATATCTCCTTCCTCCGTGTGTCTCCGGAAGTGTACCAGAGCTACACAGTCTAATCTCTATCAGACTCTGCTGGAAAGTATCTCATTCTCCTCCCCACCCACCCTAGCCAGCACTCAGGTCTAGGCATCTGGTATGGACTCAGCTAATGCAAGTTGTCTGAGGAGGAAGTTCAGGGACTCTGCGACTATCCCTGGAGAGTTGTCCTCTCATCTTACTTTACAGAGAAAAGAAAGATCATTTGGCAAGAGTTTCCTTAGATACTTCCTTCCTATACACCTAAAAATTATTCATGTTGATTTATGCTTGCAAATACTGAAAAAAAATGTGACTGCTATATTGAATGTCTCCACCAAAACTCATGCTGAAATTGAATCCCCACTGTGAGATGTTAAGGAGTGGGATCAGGTGACCTTTAAAAGGTGATGAGATCATAAGTTCTGCCCTTGTGCATGAGTAGGCTAATGGTCATCTCAAGGGTGGGTCTGTTATAAAAGCCAGTTGGGCTTTTGTGGATGTCCCCTTCTCACTCTGTGATGCCCTGTGCTACCCTGGGACTCCATAGAAAGTTCCCACCAGCAGGGAGGAGACTCACCAGATGTGGGCCCGCAATCTTGGACCTCCCAGCCTCCAGAACCATAAACTTACTAAGCGTGTCTTCTTTACGAGTGATCCAGGCTGTTTCATTCAGTAAGCTGCCAACAGAATGGAGAAAAATGAATGATTGAGCTGAAATGGAAATCATATGTACAACCAAAGGCATTGTTAAAAACTTGAAGATAAGCCACAGACATGAGAAGATATTTTCGGTAAAGAATTAGTAACTGTAGTAATAATGATTGAAATCCTACGTATAATTAAGAAAATAAACATGAGAAGTAGAAGAAAAAGGAGAAGGACAATGAATACCAAAGAAACAACCTCAAATGCTTGATAAACATATGAAAAATACTCAAGCTTATACATAATCAGGGACAGGTCACCAAAAACTTTAGCCCTTCTGATGGGAAAACTTAGTCTGGGAGAAGATACTAACATTCACACGCGGCTAATAGGAGTGCAAATTTCACTGTCAAGACCAAGTTGGCAATAACTGGGAAAGTTGAAGGTGGGCTTCTTTGGGAGTCAGCGCTCCTATTCTGAGAGACACCCTTGTCTACCTAATAGGGAAACATCCAACCTTATTACAGCTTTAATTTTTAAAAACAAAACTTTTAAAGCAACTATCTGAATGACTATCAACAGCAAAATGGGGGAGGGGAGTTGGTATATTTATTCAATGGGACATTGAATCAGTATTCATGAAACAAATGCAAATGAACTGGAAATACGTGCATTAACCTACATAAACCGTGAAAACAAGGCTCAGCAAAAAAGAAGCCAATGCAGTAGAGTAATATGTACAGTAGAAGACCACTCAGACAAATTTTAAGGTCATGCAGAAATACCTTGTTCATAGGACTGCATGAATAATAAAAGTAGAAGACCAGACAGGAGAATCAAAAATCCCCAATTCAAGACAGTGGTTGTCTCTGGAGAAGTTGGATAGGCACTGAGATCAGAGAATGAGGCTACAGAAGGCTAATCAGTGTTTTTGAAATATTTTGTTTCTTAAATATATGTCAATAGGTTTAAAAGAGGAAGGGAAAATAAAAATCTCATAACAGTCCTCATTGGCATTTACCTGAAGAATATTATTATTATTATTATTATTATTATTATTATTATTATTATTATTATTATTTGTACCGGGGGTCAAACTGGGGTCCTTGTGTTTGCAAGGCAGGCGGCAGAACCACTGAACTAAATTCCCAGCCCTACCTGAAAAACTTTAAAATTCTACATAAGGCCACTTTGGGAAAGATGCCCCTCTTCTAGCAGGTGCAACAACAGAGAGGCATGGCTTGAATACTGTATTCATAAAAGGTCTCTCTTTCTCCGAGTAGACGTGACCTTACAACAGGGTTTGTGACGTGGAGAGCAGGATGCCCCCCTCAGCCAGGAGTGTGCACAGAGAGCATAACCAGTACAAGCATGGTAGCAGCTCTCACTCTAAATCAACAGAAGTTAAGTGAAGAGTGAAGTCTTCCTCTTGCCCAAGGCAAACCCCTCAGGCAGCCTGAGCTCAGCATCTCTTTCCCGCTTGTCTCTCATTATTCTACCTTTCTTTCGCTCTCCTCTGTCCTCCCCTCTGGCCCCTTTGCTCAGCCTTCAACCCTGGGTTTGTATTTGCTGCCACCCTGCATCCCACTGTGGCCTGGTTTTCTTCCATTGCATCGCTGAGATGACTGGTCCACAAAGTCGTCATGACTTTCTGAAATCTCAGACAGGCAGCCTCTCTGCAGTTCTCACCTCTCTTGGCCTGTGTAAGAGTCGACGTCTTCCCTGTGGAAACTCCTGGAGTAGGTTCTATGACATTGCTCTCCTGAATACCCTCTCTTTGGCTTCTGAGGCTTTTGTCATTTTATGACCCTTGCTCTGTCACATAGCTACAAATGGCAGTGTCCCTTCCTCACCACGATTTCTTCTCACGCTCTTCGAGTAGCTTCAACATTGATTTCATAAATATTTATCGAGCACCTACTCCACACCAGGCTCTTTTCTAAGTGCTAGAGACACAGCCCTGAAAAGGCCCGGTGGGATTTCCTGTTATTGCAACTTCAGTCTTCTATTATTTTCTTTCGCTTCTTCCCCCTTTTAGTTTTGATTCTTTTTTTTTCTGATTGACCTTATGATGGCCATAAAGGCTTTAACCCCACACCTTTGTGTGCACAGAGTCTGAGTAACTGTTGTCTCATCAACGTAGGCAACCAAAGTGGAGTTTCACTATGTGAAATGACCCTAGACAAGGGGATTAAACACAGCTCATAGAGGCTGTGTCAGACTTCAGGCATGGACTGGGAGTTCTTCCACTAACTTTCAGTGTGAACTTGGTCTAATCTTTCAATTCTTCTGAGCCTCAGCTTTCTTTCCTGTAAAGAGAAGGGTTGGTAAAATTATGCAATAATTCCTTTCTAGCTTTAAAGCCATGAGATTCTGTAATGTTTATTTTTTGAGGCTAAATTGCAGAGTCCTCTGTATGCCTCAGAAGTTTCTCCATTATGATTAATGTGTTAGAATTCAGATTGTTTTCATCATTCAACATTTAGTTTACTTGGATAATATAAAACAAGCTACAACCTAAAAAGTAGAATTCTGCTTGAGATCACAAAATACAGTATTCTAGTTTCTTCCTAACCAAATCCTGCCTGGTTTAAATAGGTAATCTAAAGCCAGGTGTGGTGGTGCACACCTGTAATCCCAGCCCTCAGGAGGCTGAGGCAGGAGGATTGCTGGGAGTTTGAGACCAGCCTGGGCTATATAGTGAGTTCCAGGGCAGTCTGAACTACATAGTGAGAGCCTGTCTCCAAAAAATAAAAGAAAGTTTTAAAAAATAGGTAATCTAAGTGTTACTTTGTTACTACTTGTACATGAATTATGGTTTATAAAGAGGGGAATCTAGTTCTGAAGGCCCCAGTGGGATTCACTTTGCACATCGTGAAAGCCAAATCTGACCAAAAGTGTAGAGGTTTTAAGAGAACAGATGGTATCCATTAATCCATGACCTTCAGCAAATTCTTAAACATCTCTGTACCTTACCTCTTCATCCCAAAACTACAAATAATAGCAACCACCTAATAAAGTAGCATAAAATAATAAGTACATAAATACAAAGGGCTTAGGACAGGTCCTTATAAGCGTTGTGTAAGGGTGTGCTATTACAAGTGATTTCTAATTTTAAATAAAATTTATTTATTTATTTATTTATTTTGGTACTGGGGATTGAACTCAGGTCCTTGTGCTTGCAAGGTAAGCAGCGGAACCACTGAGCTAAATCCCCGGCCCTTAAATTAAAATTCTTTACAGTGAAATAGACATACATTTGAAATAAGACAGGACACTATCATAAATGGCCAAACATAACTTTAAAACAAAAATGAGGGGAGATGGTGACACTTTAAAAGCAGACCTGTAGTAGTTCTGTGATGAGTGCTATGGAGAAAAATAAAGGAGGATAAGGAGATAGTACAAAAGGTGGTGATGGGTTATATTCATTTTATAGCAAATCATCTTGAAAGCTTCACTAAAAGATTGACTATGAGGACGAGACCTGAAGGGAGGAAGAACTGAGAACCACGTGGTTGTGTGGTAGAAAACTGTTCCATACAGAAGGAACAAGGTAAGAGTTCCAAGGTAAGAGTGTGGAAATGTCAGGACTAGTGGAAAAAAATACCTGTGAACATAGATTTGTGGAAGCTAGTAGGTTTTCCACCAGTAGGTTTGCTGGAGCTGGGACTGGGAGAGGGAGGGAAGCAGAAGTTTTATTTAATTTGTGTTAGAGTGAGTGTGTGAAGTCTATTAGAGATCAACATGGAGACTCAGTAGATACTTGAATTTATTCAGCAAATATTTATTGAGTGCCAGAGACTCCATGTCTGTTAATAGCAGAGTCATTCATATTGGGTTATCTTATCTGCAAGTAACAATGATAAACTCTAGAGGGAAAAAAATGACCTAAAGATGATTTGAAGAATGACCAAATTAGAAACCAGAGAGCTGACACTTGGAAGAAGGGAATGGTACTGGATGGGTAATACTATGGCCTGTGTCTAGATGTCCCCGAAAAGCCTTGTGCGGTCGTCAGTGGGGCTTTTCAGAATGGCTGGATCTAGAGTGTGTGATGATGAGATCAGGAGTGTGTGATTACCAAATTAGTCCACCCATCGGTTTGGCACAGTTCTGGGAGGATTAAGGGTGCCCCACCCTAGGTGTGAGTCCTGCCTGCCCTAAGGGTGGGCAGCCTGGATAGGATACAAGGGACACATAGAGGGCTACTGTGGTTGCTTGCTACTTCACTTTCTGCCTTCTGCCGGCCATGAACTGCTTCTTACCTCGATGATCCTCTGCCATCCCACCCTGCCTTGGAGCCAGCCAACTATGAACTGAGACCTCTAAAAACTACGAGTTACAATAAATTTTTCCTCATTTAACTGTGGGTGTCAGGTATTTTGTCTCAGCAGTGAGAAAAAGTAACTAAGACATTTGGGTTTCCCAGGGTTTGTTTGTTTGTTTGTTTGTTTTATTTTTCACTACTGGGGATTGAACCCAGGGTCTTCACACTGAGCTACATCTCCTGTCCTTTTTTATTTTTCAGGACTGAGTCTTAGTAAAGTCACCCAGTCTGGGCTCATACTTGTGATAGTCTTGCCTCAGCCTCCCAGAGTGCTGAGATTATAGGCACACACTGCGTTGCTGGCTCCTATTTATTTTTTAAATGATTTTTTCTTTTTTGCCAAAAGGCAAGTTAGTTCCATGTTAGTTACAATTTGGGTATTTAAAACATTTGTTTTTATTGTACATGTTTGCAATACATAATGATTACATTCATTGTGTACATGTTGGTACATGTAAATAACACATTTTAATTCTTTTTATGTTCCCTTACCTACCCACTGCTTCCTTCATCTCTTGGTCGCCTTCCCATTTGCAAAAGATTTATCCCCCTATTTCCTAGTATCTGTCTTTTATTTTGCTCATTAATTTATTTATACTTTGGGTTTGTGATATGAAAGAAACTATGAGATAGTCAAGTTTGTATATCTGATTTATTTCACTTAACATTATGGTCTAAGGTGCATCCATTTTTTCTACCAACGACTCAAGTTTATGCATTTTTTTTTTTTAGCAGAGTAGGACTACATTGTGTGTAAATACCACATTTTCTTTATGGGACAGTTCAAATTCAGATAGAAACCTGGTTTTGATTAATTAATTTGAGACATTAGAACACAGCTTTTTAGCCTGTCACCATTACCATAGAAACTGGGAAAATAGTGTGATAACTGATATGTTAGGAGGGGAAGACCCACCAAAGAGAAGCCCCAGATTCTGTATGTAGGTTTTCCCCAATCGCTGGCTGATTTCTACATTATACATAAGTGGAGCATACTTCAGGCAGCCTCATGAAAAGAGCTGAACGGAAATCTTAACCCTTGCCCACTACAGAGGAGAAAGAGTTTGAGTTTTAGTCTAATCAACTGTTTAGTGAAACCATTAATTCAGAGCTTTCCAGAGGGACAAAACAGAAACTACGGTCTGTACAATCTATTATTCATGTGCAGGTCATAGTCCAGAATACCGGACCATCAGGGAAACAAAAATGTGACCCAAATGCAAGGGAAAAGACAGTCAGTGGACAGTGACTTTAAAATGATGCAGAACTAGGAATTAGGACCCAGTTATCTTAGAATAACTATTCTAACTCTGGAAGGACATGAACAAACTGGGCACAGTAGCACATGCCTGTAGTCACAACTACTTAGGAAGCTGAGACAGGACAATCACTTGAGCCTAGGAGTTCTACTCTAACCTGGGCAACATAACAAGGCCCTGTCTCAAAAGAGAAAAAAAAAAAAAGTTCATCATGGATGGGAAGAAAACTCCAGCAGAATAGAAACTTCAAAAAAGAACCAAAGGGAAAGTGGAGAAGAAACAGTGAAAACTGCCTTTGTGCTGTCTCAGCTATAGGTGATAGATCACTCTGTCTGCTTTCCACACCACTTCCTGGGGGTTAGGACTCAGGCCTGTCATTCATATTCCTAGGGTCCCTGCCTCTAACACTTAAACGACTCATTTTCCAAAATAAATCTTAGATCTCTCCAGAATATTTTCTTGTGTTGACAAGCGCATCAAGCTCATTGGTATAACAGATTTCAGCCCCAGCCTGAAGAGGTGACTACCGTTAGCACCAGGAAAATGATTCTCTCCAAACTTAGGGACCTCCTCAAACCAGGAGTGGTGGGACCCTAAGCCATGCGTGGCTTTCACACCGAGCTAGCGTGAGTGCGCTGTCTCTAAGCGGTAGGGGGCTGTGTCTCCCTGACTTCACTCCCACTTCCATCTTTCACAGGCGGCTGAGTGCAGCCCTGGAAGCCAGCTCTTAACTCGCCCTCGCGGGCTTCTGCCAGCTCCTCTCCTCTGCGACCTGGTGTTTTGCTAACTTCTTTCTCTTCCGTTGCCTGTCCAGACAATAACCAAGCTAATAATAGGTGAAGCTAAGCTCCACCCTCCAGGTTCCCTTTCTAGATGACAAGGGCAGGGCTCTTGGGGCCTGGGAGAGCCACTGACCCTACAGAATGCAGTCCAAGCTACTCGCTGAATGTCTGTCACCGACTCTATACCCTTCAGCATGAGGGAGACCCCTTCAGAGTTCACTAAAAAGCAATTTATAAGCAGCAGAAGCAGCACCAACAGAGGTAAACCAAAAAAGGAAAATAAATTGTCAAGAGCCATGAGTAATGGTAGAGCTCAGAAAATCAATATCTGTCCACATATTTCTATGCATGTGGTGCATCCGTCAAAGTCAGTGGGTGACATTCATCCCAGTCTGGTCCAGCAAGCGGAGCTGGGTGACTCACCCTCTGTGCTGTGCCCCCGCCCCCAGGCGCTGCCTGGTGCTTAACACACTCACCGGACCTGTCACCAATTGAATCTTGAGATGGAATCCAATTGCCAGCCAGTTTACAGGCTTCCCCCATGCTCTCCGGTTGTTTCCAGCCTTCCTCCTAATCACTTTGGCAGCCTAGCCAGATTCGATTGGGTTTTATCTTTCTTTGTTTCAAGGCAAAACTGAAATGCCTCCTCTAAGAAGATGGCAGCGTGTCCCTTGTGCAGCTTGGGGAGGGCACAGAGGTGATCTCATAGGGTTTTTCCACACAAGTATATCTGATTTTAAAAACATAAATATGTGAAAACCCTAGTGTTGCCTCTTAAAATCTCCTTTGTGCTCAAAGAGGAAGAGGGTTGGTGACTAGTTTCGGCAAAGTATCAGTAATATCAAATAGCACTGATTCACCAAGTTCTGGAAACAAACCTCAGTTTCTCTAGTTGTTGGTTCAGGATGAGAAAACTTCTCTTTTTGACGAACTAAGACAGCAACAAACCAGAGATCAGCCTGTTTTCTGACAAGAATGACACATGAATGTGACAAATGTTCCATCATTCCCCACCCCGGCTCATGCTGTGCCCTTCTGGCTGCTGGCTCTCCCACCCCTGCTTGTCTTAGTCATTCTTGGAGGTCCCTCTGTCTCCCAGGAACTGTCCCAACCTTCTATCTGGGGGAAGCTTTTCCTCTGAACTCCCCTGGCATGTATGTCAAAATCCCAGGACCAGGCTTGGCAAGTGCTTCACCACCGAGCTACAGCCTACCCTTTTCTTGAGAAAAGGTCTTGCTAAAGGGCTCAGACTGGACTCGAATTTGCAATCCTCCTGCCTGAAGCTCCCGAGAAGCTGTGATTATAGGCCTGCACCACTGCTCAGCTCAAAAATCTCTTAACTGATATTTCTTGCAAGTTTTCCATGGCAAGGACTGTGCTAAATTCTCATTTGCACACCTATAGATTGGCCCTGTTCAGTCTGCAGCCCCAGCGTGCAGTGTAAGCTGAGCATCAGGGCCACCTGGGCAAGTTTTAAAAACTACTACAGCTGTCCAGGCACCACCACAGGCCTCAGGGACAGAATCACTCTGTAGGTGAATCTGATTGCCCACTGGAATGAGAGCCATGGTTTCCTGGCCATAGCCCCTCTGCTCCCACAGGAGCAAAGCCCACCTTCATGTCAGGTTTGAGGCCAAATCTGATTCAGGAAGGGGTGTGTGACCCATTTCTGGCCTTGAGACTCAAGAAGATTGCTGGAGGCTTCTGAAAGGCCTTCCTCATTGTCTCCGGGCTTCATGCTCTCTCCTGCCCCTACCCTAGTTTTACTGACCGCTGTGCTGTGATCTTTCTCTCCCTCTTCCCTTTTCTCTTAGGATGATTCTGTGAAAAAACCTGGGTCCTAGATGGTAGATTCACCAAACCTGAGCTGATCTGGAATTGGGCTTCCACTCATGTGCACTAATACGTTACTTCTGCCTGAAATATTCTTCTGGCCACCTTTGCTTTTATCCCTCTTCTTCAAGTATCACCTGACACAGCACCCTCTTTAGTAAGTGTATCAGTGAGCATTTGTTGAATGAATGAATTCATAGTCATTGTGTGCACATATAGGCAGATTACTGGAGATAAAGAAGTAACTAAATAAAGTCTCTGTCTGTATGGATTCTTACATTTTGTTGAGAGTAAGACTCTACTTAGCAGTTTCTCTAGAGAAATAAGCTTCATGCTTCTGGTTATGCAAGTA